AACGTATTCATTTCAGGGTCATAAAGATTCCCTATTTTATTCCTTAGGTACACCCATCCCGAATACTTTCCCTTCAAATAATCATATTGGTTTTTCAGTTGTTTCTGGGTGAGTTTTACATGGCAAACTTCTTCAAGTTTGGTTGCCACTTGCACCCAAGTCTCCTTGCGAAGACTACCTCCATTTCGACCCACCTTATTGACCTCTTCTATACAAGTCTCTAGAAACCGTTTGGTAAGTTCGTTTGTCCACTTCACACGCACATTCTCATCCATGACTAAAATCAAGCAGAAAAGATATAACTTTTAAATCAACATTGTAGAGGTGTTTGGTCATACTTGTTTGTTAATAGAAAAAATTGGGACTTGAGAGTTGCAGAGGACTGTTGAAAAGTCATGATACACTACATAGTGTTCCAAAGCATATGTACATATAGATATACAAGTGAAGTGAAATGTGTGTGTGTGTTTTAGAACCTGGGATTATTTCACAATGACACTTTACAGAATAAAAAATGTAACCTTTATAGACTAAACCAGATTGATAGTGTAAATTCATTTTTATCCATGAGGGGGGGGGGGGTAATGAGGGTTATCCTTTGTTTCACATGATTCAAATGTTACAAAAACACTTGTGCAGTCCTAATACGTCAGGAGGATTAAACAATTCTAAATAGAAGAATACACTTTCTGCCTGTTTTAGATTAGCAGAAGGGTTAACAATGGCATCCATCTACCTTTTTCTGCCTGTGTTGGAGACCCTGTGGATGCAAACCTCAACCCACCATCAAGAAGAATCACAAGGCACCAGAAGATGATCACTAAGCCCATGACCAAAATACAAAGACCATTAAGCATTAGAGGTGTGATAAACAATAGCATCCAGTCCTATGGAGATAAGCCAAAGGGAGATCTATGGCACCTAGTTGTGGTCCAGGGTCTAATGCAGAAAGCTAAAGTCCCAAGGCTCCTTACTGATGAAATAGTGAATGTAAAGCCCTCTATAGAAGTGATTACAGTAAATAAGGTAAGGAAGAATGTTGAGGAGAAAATGAAGAAGAACGCCAGTGCTACAGCAAGTTCAGCACTGGTCACAACAATCACCACAATATTAAAAGCAGTAGTCAGTTCAAGAAAGGCAACCCTTAAAGCTCCTGCAACAACATCACCTACATCACCACTAGTTTAGACCCCAATAGTCAATCCTTGGACACTTTGTCATTTGTATCACTTACTAAGCATCTAGAGAGACACCATGAGATAATGTTGAATAAATTTGAGGATCCAAATTCCTTGTGGCACCTTAGATTGGAGAAACAGAAAAAATAAATGATGGAGGCCTTCAACATCAAAGAGTCCAAGATTATAGAGAGGATGGAGAAGCAGGAAGAGACCTTGCAGCATTTGGTAAGGATGAATGTTCTCTACTAAAAGTATGACGAAGATAAATATGATATGGTTCTCAAGTACGGCAAGAAAAACATCCGATTGAAGCAAGACAGAAATAATACAAAAACCCCTTATAGGATTTGAACTGTGGGTGATGCGATTACCTTCACAATAGATGAACCAGGAAAAACAGAAATCAACCAAGCAAGGAGAAACAAAATCGAGAGCTTGAGAGATCGAGATGGATATCTTAAATCGAGAGGTAGAAGACGGTAGGCGACGCAAGGATCGAGAGGTAGGCGACGGTAGGCGATGCGCAACGATGGAGAGCTTGAGAGAGATCGGGTAGGCGACGCAAGGCGATTGAGAGAGAGATCGAGAGCAATCCTGTTGAGCGATGGAGAGGGAGCGAGAACAGTATGATGAAGGCGAGGAGAAATAAGAGGTTTTCAGACTTTAGGTTACCTCTAAATAAACCAGACCTATTCAGATAAATTAAGCACTTAATTTTAAAAAAAAAACAAACGCACTTAATACCTTAATGTCTGACCGATTCAGACATAAGAGGCAATTAAGTGCTTTTTAAAAAAAAAAAAAACAGGGCCTAAGAGTCAATTACAATTTGTTATCCATGTGATTGTGATTGAGTATCGTGTCTCATCCCTATTATGAACTAATTATCATTTTCTTTCGGATTTGGTCCATCTTGTTAACTTCGCTAAAAAACCAGAGTTAAGTTGAAGCACTTTTTACTCTTGTTTTCTTTTTGTGTTTCAACAGATTTTTTTTAGTATTTTACTACTTCTTTAAAATACATTTCGATGTAAACATGCTCAACATAATTATGCACCCCACCCCTCTTCCATCAAAAGCTTGATTTGAAACCCAAAATCCCTTTCTCGAGGTGAAATCCTCTTCTTAAGAACGATATACATTCAAACATATGAACGTAGACAATAAAACATATATTTTAATCAAAAAATTGTGATACAAACTTTAACTCAAATACTAAAGTCAAAACCTTAATTCAAATCCTCAAGTCAAAAACTAAAACAAACCCAAATATTTTTTTTTTATATGTTGAATGAAGAAGAAGATCTAGATCCATTGGAGTGGTAGAATGGTCTGTTGAATGAAGAAGCTTAAGATCTAAGATGTATTCATGTTGGGATATAGATACCAGATCTTCAAATTGACCCGTTGAAGGAATGAAGAACTAGATCGAGAACTCACTATACAAACTTCTTGCTATCTTCAACCTTCTTGCCATTCTCATTGCTTGGATTTATCTAGGTTTCAGGCACTAACAATGGTTCATCTCCATCTGCTTTAAGATTCAGACAACTTAGGCTTCAACCAAGAAACTTGAGTTTTAAGATAAACACTAAAAACCAATAAAGAAAACTACAAATTTGACAGATCATATGCCATGAAAAGACAAAAAAAGATGGGTTTTAGAATGAAATTTCAACTGCTTACCTTTTTTCTTGTCCAGAAACTCAGATTAAGGTTGAATTAAATAAATATATATATATATATATATATATATATATATATTTCATAAAAACCCAAGAACATATTAATTCAGAACATATTATACAGTGCAATTTGGACAGCCTAACCCCAAAATATATAGTATATATATAAATAAATAACTATAAAAATATAAATCGTAAAAATTAAAAATATTTTTTCACAGTATATAATATATAATAATATAATTAAGTCAAAAAATATTCAATATTGGACTCATTTCGAAGGTATTAACGAGACGATTATAATGGTGTAACTTGTTAAAATAAAAATGTACTTTTTAAATATGTTTTAAATGATATACGATTATGTATATTAATTTGATAAAGGTTTAAAATGAAACATTTAAAAGTAGATGATGTAAAACAAATTAATTAAATAATTATAGGGGTATAAAGTGTAAATTTAAAATTATAATTTAAAAGTGTGAGAGGGTGAATATATGTGAGAGGATGAGTGTATGTGAGAAAAAAAAGGATAAAAAATGATATAAAAAATATCTTGATCATTTAATATTTTAAATTTTTTATTAAATTTGTTTTATAAAATAATATAAATTATTAAAATTAAAACATTTGCAAATTTGTATTTATTCAAACTTCAGAGTTCATTTTGCCACAAACTCCTACTTTTATAGTACCACCTCATACACTTCTGATTGCACATCATTGTCTCTCTCTCTCTCTCTCTCTCTCTCTCTCTCTCTACTCTGTTCTTCACATCATTTTTCAAATTCTCTCAAAATTCCATCCGTTCGGCCAAAAGATTGGGTTGCAAAATATTTTCTGTGGCTGAGTTGTTGTTAATTTACTTAAACCCCTCAAACGATTTTGCAATCACTATGCATTCTATCAAGAACACGCCCCCATTTGCTTTTCTGCTTCTTCTTCTTGCTTTGTTCTTCATTTTTGCAAATGGAGAACCCTATTTTTCTACCTTCCGAACACCCACTTCAGGTATTTCCTCTTCTCTCATTTTGATCCACCGATTTCTTTTTGCATTTATACCGTGAAATTGATTTGGGGTTATATTGATTTACGAAATATTGTTTGAATTTTATGTAAATTTCTTCTGGGTTTTCGAGAACGAATGAAATCATTGTTCTGTCTTGAGATTTTTGTTCGGGTTAACAGAAAAATGAGTTCAGTTTTGTTGTACGGTTTTGAATCTGTGGTGCTGTTCCAGGAAAAACTCATGAGGGGAAATATGATTTGTTGGATAGTTGGGGTACCAAAAGGTTACTTGCTGAAGAACAAAATGATGTGAATTCATCACTTGTGTTGGCTCAAAAACGAACAACAAGGAAAGATCCACTCGATGATTTTAAGAAATACAGAGGAGGATGGAACATCAGTGAGCGACATTACTGGGCTGTAAGTTTCTATAATTTTATGTTGATTTCCTTGCTTCATCCATTAACTAATAGAAAAAACTGAAATAAAACCCATTAGTCTCATCTTTTTTGGGGAAATATCCCAGAAATTATCTGGAAACAAACATAAATCTGGATTTGCTGGGCTCAAAGAACCCATTAATCTGACTTTTTGGAGGAAAAAACACAGTTAAAAACCCAGAAATTATCTCCTAAAATACATTGATAATAGTTTTTGCAGGGCCACAAAACCAAAATTTAGTGGAAAAGCTTAACGTTAGAGATATTAGATATAGTTTTAATCATGATGAATCCCAATATCGTTACGGCATCTTGTATCTTGTGCATTGAAAGTTGTATGTTCATTTTGAACTCTGGGGTTTCTGATTCTGGAAAAATACCCAGTTTCAGTCTTCCTTTTCGCTATACCGTTTTTCATCTGCCTATATAGTGTTTCAGTGTTTCCTCGACAAACCGTGTAGCCTAGCGGAATTGATATAGGCCAAACCGGACCTCCCCTCCAAAGAGTAGAACAGCTGTTTCACAACTGTGAAAGACCCTTGGAAATTAATTCCTTGATATCCATTAAGCAACAATCTAAAAGGGGGAAACCGTAATTTAGTGGGAACCTCCTATTAAGAGCCATAGGTTGGTGTTAATCAAGTTTAATTTAGTGGGGACCTCCTATTCTTGGTCCCTTATCTATGGCTACATTTTGGTTTTGGTCCCTAAAATTCATAAAGTACACCAGTGGTCCGTTTTTTGTGTTTTGAAGCCCAAGCTAGTCCCTCCTCTTAACACCGTTAGAGTTGGTTCTGTTAACTCATCATGTGCCGCTCACTTGAGGGGCATTTTCGTCTTTTTACCTTCTCTTTTTCTTACCATTTTGGCCATCACCCTAGTACCATCCTAAAGCCACCTTAAACCTTTCACCATCAATGTCAAAAAACCAAATTCAAACATAACTCCAAAAATCAATAATAATAAGTATACCAAGAACATCAAATATTTAACATCAAACACATTAAATACCCTTTTCCAAACAAATTTATATCAAATTTATGTGAACAGAACTCATGCAAAATTATAACCCAAATCAAAATCCTAAACTGAAATCCCTAAAATCAAAACCCTAAATTGGAATCCATAAAATCAGACTTGAATTGGGATTAGGGCTTCAAAAACCTGATCTTTAGGGTTTCGAAAACAAGATCTGCATCTTTCTTTGCTGTCTTCATAAACCAGATCTGCATCAAGGGGGTCTGGTGTCTTCATGAACAGAGAAAGGAGTGCTACTCCGTCTTGAATGGGGAAGGGGAGGGTTTCAGGGTGGTGGCGACGGCACTTGAAAGAGTGTGGGAGAAATGGAGGTAGTGACCATTTTGAGAGAGATGGTGCTGGCATTCTTGAGGAGAGATGGAGGTGGCGGCCATTCTTGAAGAGTGATGGTGTGATTGTAGGCTGCAGACGTGTGGCGAAGGGGATGAAACGGTGGCAAAGGGATTCATGTATATCATGAATGTATTATGCAAATAACATAAAAATCTATATTTTTTTGTTTTATTTTTCAAATGAAAAAAAATATTAAGGTAAAAAGACCAAATTACCCCTCACGTGAGGGACACATGACCAACTTAACAGAACCAGACGATCGGTGTTAACTGGATGGACCATTTTGGGCTTCGAAACACGAATCAATGGACCAATGGTGTACTTATGTATATTAGGGATCAAAACCAAAATGCAGCCATAGTAAAGGGACCCACCAATGTAATTCACTTTACTATTCATATAATTATGAAAATATGACAAATTCAAGTTGACATTTGAAGCCAAAGAAGCAAATGGTATTATTTAGTTCCTCTTTTGGCTGGCAATATAAAAAAGGGGATTTGAATAAAGGACATGATGTGAAACTTTGGTCCATATCTTTGATATTAAACTTGTAATATTTTCTTAATCCATTATGTGGACATAATCAAGTTTATTTAAGAATCTTTGTATCATCAGATAATGTTAAATTGTGATAGATTTGGTAGCGATCATTTGAATAATGATATTTTTTGGAAATCACATGAATATATTCTACTTGCTACAATTCACATTCATGGAGAACAATACAATTATTCTCTTTGTAGGAGACTTTTCACACTGGGTCTTAAAAAAAGGAATAGAAAATTGGAAGAAAATGCTTTGTTTAGGTTCATAATCTGTGTTTTGAGCATATTTGTTGGAAAGAGAAAGAATGGGATTCGGGAAAAAAATTAGTTAATTTTGTGAACTTTTTTCTTTAATGTCTTTTAGAAAAGTAAAGAAGAAGCCTTGTTTTCTAACACAGACTTTATTTGTCACCCTCCTTCCCAAAATCAGAGTCTAGTTTTGACTTCAAGAGGGATATTCACAACTCTAGAAATATGTTACTGTGTGATAGATGGAGTACTGCATTTACTATCGATCTTATCTGTATATGCAAGTAGTAATGTAGTATGTATGCTTCTTTTTTTCTTTTGAAGTTGTTCTAAATGTCAAAACTATGCAATGCAGTCTGTGGCTTTTACTGCTGCACCCTTCTTTGTCATGGCTGCAGCCTGGTTCGTGATCTTTGGGTTGTGCTTGTCACTGATTTGCCTCTGCTATTGTTGTTGTTCACGAACGCCGTATGGCTATTCCAAACTAGCTTATGCGCTCTCTCTTATTCTCCTCATCCTCTTCACCATGATTGCAATGTATGTCCCTCTCCCTCTCTCTCTCTCTCTCTATATATATATATATATTTATACATACACGCACATGGGTGTGTATAACTGCATGCTTATGTGTCGTGAAATCTCTGCTTGCAAGGATATGGGATTGGTGATACTTAGATAGAGGGAATTGTTAAGGATTCTGTTGTGTATAATTATAACAAAACCCTGAAAACCTGTGACTTAATAGATACAAAAAAACATCATCCAGGAGCTATTGGGTTGGAGTTGGGCCAAGCCCAAGGAAAACCGACCCAACCCGAATAAACCAACTATCCCAAGACCTTGCGGTTTGTTTTGTGCACTCAACAGGTGGTGACTGGTGACTTTAACTTTTGATACATATTTTAAGGTATTACTGGTTTTAGTTTGTTTTAACATGATGCAATGATTTGTTGAAATCTTGAATTACTGGTTTTTGTTTGCTTGTAACATGATGCAAGTTAAGTGTTTTAACCCAACCAGCCCAAACCCACCCGCATAGTTTAGGTTGCGGTTGGGTTATACTTTTAAAATGCTATGAAACGGGTTGAGATCTTTTAAGTCGCAATCAGCGGGTTGAGCTGTTCAAACGCCTTTAAACCGGTAACCCAGTGCGTATGCACGCTCTAGGCATACTAGGCCTGTCAATGGGTCGGATCTTATAATTTGATCCTACCTCATTATTCAAGTAAGTGGGTAATAGATGGATCATGGACCAGTTTATTTTACTTTATTTTGCGAAAGATTAATTATTTCAACTATCGTGTTTGGTTTTTTGCTGCAAACCGACCATGGTTCTTGTAAAAATATTAAAAAAGATAAGAAAATGCTATTATTTTGTAAGGATGAACGGTTGTGAACAACTTTTGTATACGTAAATGCAAAATGGCCATCAAACACATTTCTTGCAAAATGTAGTATCGCCTTTTTTCTTCATTTTCGCAAGAATGATGGTTTGTCTAATTAATTGGTCCTTCTAGAAATCCCTATTATGATGTGATGAGTAAACTAATGGTTTGGTTCGGATCTTTTCAGCATTGGATGTGTTTTTTTATACACGGGTCAAGCGAAATTTTATCATAGTACAACGAAAACATTGGATTATGTCGTAAATCAGGCAAATACAACCGCAGAGAAGCTTAGGAATTTGTCCGATGATTTCGCTTCTGCAAAGAAAGTAGGGGTTGCCCAAGTGTTCTTGCCGGTTAAAGTCCAATCAGACATTGATGAGATACAGACAAAGCTGAACTCATCATCTTACGCCCTTTCTGACAGAACTGAAGAGAATAAAGACGACATTCACCGCGTTCTAGATACCGTGTAAGCAATACTCCTCAAGATATGACAACTGCATAATATTTTCATTGAAGGATATATATATAACACAGGAAAACTCATACACTCCTCACCGATCACGACTTGAATCCTTAACCTCCAGGGAGGTTGGGATCTACTGCTAATCCGGACACTGCTGGGCCAATGACCCTTTGATACCTGTATAATTTTTATATCTATTGTAAAATTGATGAGATGGTGTGGTTTTGCAGGAGGTTAGTTCTGATTATTCTATCTGCAGTGATGCTCTTCTTGACGTTTCTTGGATTCTGTAAGTTCATAATGGTCCATTGATACGTTGCTAGAGTCCATTATTTTTTTGTGGATTTTTAAAAAGTTTTTCCGGTGCTTATTTCTTCTTGCAGTGCTTTCGATCTTTGGCATGCAATGTATGGTGTACACGTAAGTGCGATACTGATGTGTTATTATAATAAGATTTATATCATGTTTTTCAAAAAGAAATATGTAAGTTTGGATCATTGCAGGTTGGTGATTTTCGGGTGGATTCTTGTGACGGGAACGTTTATATTGTGCGGTGTGTTCCTTGTTCTGCACAAGTAAGTTCAGTTTTCTTATGGTTGATGATTATCTAGCAGCAAGATGGTCCTTTGTATTGGTTTGTAGATCGAACTATAAGGGCCAATCGGTCGGTGCACCGGTCTCGCTAGAAACGAGCAATTTGTGCAAAATGTGTTTCGTGATGGTTTCCTTTTGCATATACATTTCCACAATTTGTTGTTCATAATCACAAGATCTGTTCGAGTCTAGCCTCAGCTAGACATGGACCATCAAACCTATATATATAGTGTCGGGTTCCGGTGAGAATGAGTGTTATGGTGAGAAGGGTATGAAGGATCTCTACTCTTGTATCAATCCTAATTGAAGAGTTCCACTAGATCAACACTAATGAGAAGCACCGGATCAATTCCCTTCTAAAGTGCAATTCATGGGTTGGTTTGAGATTAAAAGTGATCAAGGGTCCAAATCCCTTTTTGCACTTCTCATCGTAACTCCTAATCTCACACGATTCTTCGCCTATATATATGTGTGTGTGTCTGTATATATATATATATATATATATATATATATATATATATATATATATAAGAACCTCCTTTTGGTTAATATTCACCACTCTGACGATGTTCTTGCGGTAGTGTGACTGCAGACGCATGTGTGTCGATGAATCAGTGGGTCAAGTATCCGACTGCTTATACTGCTTTAGATGACATTCTTCCGTGTGTGGACAATGCCACGGCTCAAGAAACCTCCATGAGGACCAAAGAAGTCGCTTCTCAACTAGTTGACTTGACTAACCAAGTCATCACTAATGTCACTAATATCAACTTCGCCCCAAATTTCACGCCCTTATTTTTCAATCAATCTGGGCCCTTGATGCCGCTTCTTTGCAATCCGTACAGACCCGACTTCACCGATCGAGCTTGTACCCCCAATGAAGTCTCGTTGAACAATGCCACACAGGTAATCCTTGTTATGTTTTATGAAATAATTCAGAGCTTTCATGTTTCAGATGATATTATCATTGTGATGTTAAAACTTGTAAATGTAAATAATATACTGTTGATTGGTCACAGGTGTACAGTCAATTTGTATGTGAAGTTTCGCCGAGTGGGATTTGCACCACCACAGGCCGCCTGACTCCAGATTTCTACAGCCAAATGTCTGCCGGAATAAAACTGAGCTATGGGCTGTACCTCTATGGCCCTTTTCTGGTAGATCTCCAAGATTGCACCTTTGTCAGGCAAACTTTTACTGATATCACTCAAGACTACTGTCCGGGCCTGCGCCGCTACAGCAACTGGATCTATATCGGGTTGCTGATGGTTTCATTGGCGGTCTTGTTGTCACTTGTGTTTTGGGTTATTTATGGGAGAGAAAGAAGGCATCGTGTCTACACGAAAACACTCGTAGCTAGAACAGATGGCGAAAAGGGTATGTGAAAACTGCAGAGGGCTGTGTATAGTTTGATGGTGGCAATCGGTCGGTGGTGGTGGCTGTACTATTCGTTGTATGTTACATGTGCTGTTTAGAATATGTAGTTAGTAGTGTATATGTTGAGAGTCATGTTTGCTATCGTCTTTGGATTCGTCTGTTACATGATTTTCATTGGATCGGTATGACTTTTTTTTTACAATGAGATTTTAGGGGGTGCTTGTTTTTCAAGGTTCAACACTTGATGATCAAAATGTTTGATACAGATAAAAGAGAGTATCAAGGGTTTTTTCGGTTTCTAAATAATACAGGCCAAGAAATAGATAGATAAGTAACTAAAGAGCCATTGTTTCGATGGCAACTCCAACTTTGTCAACTAGAAAGATGGAGTCCAGTTGCCATCTTCGTCAAGTAGAAAGATGGAATCCTAGGCCAAGTTTTGGTTCGTAAAATATTTTTGGATGAAATAAAATATTTCAAAAGAATTGGAAGAAAATTTTATTTTGGTAGACATTGAAATGAAATTTGTTAAAAGAATTGAAATATGTTTATTTGATTCACATAATGTAGTTTTGGAATTGGAATGAAATGTTGGTAAGTAAATAAAATACCTTTTCTTAAATTTTGATTTTTTTTTCCATAAACTAATCATTTAAAAGTACACAATCCAAATATAAACTAGTCATTTACAATATTTTAATGTTTAAAACAATATAAAATACACAACCTAAATATAATCATAAACCAAATTACGTTTATAAATCAATATTAAAGTTGTTCAAATACATGTTTCAAATAACCATCAAACATATATTATTAGAGATATCTTAATGCCACCAGAAATAACTTGTTCAAAACAATGTTCCAAAAACCATCAAACATACATCATCCACCAGGTTGTGTTTGGTACATAGGACGGAACGAGACAAAACTCATTGTCTCATGTTTGGAGTAGTATGAGACAGAACAAGAACTCACTATCCCACGTTTGACGTGACACGAGACAAGGATAAGAACCGGGACAAAGTGGGACAACATGAGACAAAAAAAGTTTTTTCTTGTTCCACCAAAATAGGTGGAACAAGATGGGACAAGAATGAGACAAAAACTATAATATTACTAATCTACCCTAGTTTGATATATAAGCTTGATATGATATTTGTTTTAATGGTCATCACCACTAGTTTCGGCCGGTGCCGCCACCACCGCCGGCCACCTCCACCTCCACCTCCACCTCCACCTCCTCTTCCATTACGACAACATCCTCAATTGCCTCTACAACCATCGTTCACCATCGTCCATCGCCACCTCTACCATAGTCGACCATCGACCACCATCGTCCATTGCCACCACCACTACCGCCATTTGTCACCTCTAAATCTTCCTTTACTACAACAACCTCCTTCACCACCTCCACAACCACTGTCGACCACCGGCTACTACCGTCCATTGCTACCTTTACAACCACCATTGGCCACCGACCACCACCACCCATTACCACCAACACTACCACCGTTGGCCACCTCCCACTCCTCCTATACCGCAACAACCTCCTCCTTGACCTCCACAACCACCGACCACCACTGTCCATTGCCACCTCTACAATCACCATCGGCCATCGACCACCACCGTCCATTGCCACAACCACTACCACCGTTTGACCACCGACCACCACCGTCCATTGCCACAACCACTACCACCGTTTGACCAYCGACCACCACCGTCCATTGCCACAACCACTACCACCGTTTGACCACCGACCACCACCGTCCATTGCCACAACCACTACCACCGTTAGCCATCTCCAACTCCTCCTTTACTGCAACAACGTCCTCCATGACCTCCACAACCACCATCGACCACCACCGTCCATTGCCACCTCACCTCCATCATAACCTCCACCACCATTATCTTCACTACATCAGCCACAACTACCTCCCCACCGTTGTCAATCGCCACCACCACCACAATCCACCATCTTTACATCCTCTATAATCACCGCCGTCCACCAACCACCGCTGTCTCTACCTCCATAATCACCGTCGACCATAGACCACCACTGCCCATCAACACTACTACCTCCACCACTACTTCCATCAATTTTATCAAAATTTTCATCCAAATTTGATACCATTATATATGTATATATTCATTTATATGACAATTGTGTAAAAACATTTATAAATTAAATTATTTAATTATTTACTTTATTTGTATTAATTATAACTATTATATAATATTTAAAATCATCAAATAACTTTTGGGGGTAACTTGTTTAGTTTTGTCCTGTACAGTCCTAGTCGTACCAAACTCCAGACATTCACTTGTTCTGTCCACTCCAGTCCCGTCCAGTCCTACTCTCTTGTGTTGTCCAGTTCTATCATGTTTCAGTCCTATCGAATCATGTCTGCGTACCAAATGCTACCCCAAAATACAAATGCAAATTGAAATACATGTTTCAAAAGCCATTAAACATCATAGTTCCTAAAACATAATTAACCCATAATTAATCAAGCAGAATATTCTTGAGACATATAACTAACTCTTCTCGAGCTTCTATTTCATAGTTCCAAAAACTTAACACGACTTCAAGTTCATAAGTTATTTTGTCAGTGTTGTAAACAATAAGCATGTAGCCGTTTTGCAAAACAAAAATCAAATAAATAAATCAAAATAGCAAAAACAGTTTCGTGAAACATATTTGTAAATAAAAATCAAATGGCAAAATAGTAAACATAAATCACATAGAACTCGAGAAACAAATAGCATAAATCGAATCCATATGTAGAAATCAAATCCATCTGCTGTATTCAGGCAGAAATCAGTTCATCTATAGAAATCGAGCATAAACCTTAACCATCTGCTATTTTCAAGCAGAAATCAAGTAGAGTAGGGAGAAGTTCGTGGCAGAAACAAATAGAGAAATCAAACATGTGGTGCGTTGGTGTTGTGATGGAGAAGACGAGAGAGTAGAGCTGCAGAAATCGATTAGAGTAGAGAGTTGAATGGGATAAGGGCATATTTGGAATTGTGACATATAACATTCATTTCATGAAGATACCACCTTATTGAATGTTTAAATTCTTTATTTATGGAATTTGTTGGAATTTGAACCTAAAAAATAATTAGCCAAACGAGGAAATGAAATTTAGTCAAGAAATTCAAAATTCCAATTCCATCATAATCCTTTAGAATTTGAAAAAAAAGTCACTTTATGTGTGTTTGATTGTAGGATTTTGAATTGGAGGGATTTGAATTTAGAAGGATTTGAAATCTTTAGTTTATAGGGTTTGGAATGAAATGGAATTTCATTATTTATGAAAACAAATTATAAATAATTATAAAAATAATTAATTAGCTTTTTATTAATTGATTATTACAAGACAAATGTTTTAAACATATTTTAAAACATTAACACATACAAATCCTATAAAATCCTGTGAAATACTAACCACCTTGTTGGGATTTCAAAATCCTATGTTTATGAGATTTCAAATTCAGAAAATCTTTCATATCAAATATAAGTCTGGAATTGAATTCAATTCCAAATTACTCCAAATCCAATCTAATCTTATAAACCAAACGGAACCTAAAGGTATTATTGGGTAGTTCGGTTAATACTGGACTGTTACAAGGTTTAGGATTTTAATTTTCTTTTTGAAAGATAGACAATTTATTACAAAAACGCACCAAATACATGGAGAAAGGAGAGGGAAATCTTTCTGCAAGATATAGAAAGCCAACCCCTCACCCCCTCGAAAGGAAGTTATTCAAGACCGTGTCCCACTTTATCCACGCCCATTTCCGATTAGGATTGCCCCTCCTGCAATAAAAATCTCGCCTTACACTCTGGAGAGACTTGATACCCGAGCTAGTGCACGGAAAAAGGAGAAGAAGTATAGAGGTAGGCTGCCCATGATTGATTGTTGCCAAAAGTGAAATTACTTCTAAGTGCGTCTAATCAACTCAAATTGTGTTACACTCCTCTCTTGCCTTCAAAACCATAAAGACATAGCATTACATGATCTTAATCTTATACTCTAGACATTGCAATCAACTATCGTATGTGTTATTGATAAGAAAACTATTTACACCTTACAAAACATATACTTACGCTATTGAAAGTATTGTTAACTAAAACTCAAAGTAAACATACCAGGGAAAGTCATATGTCAACTTCTCAAGGTATTTACACTTTAAGCACAATAAAACTTGAATACAACATTTTAGTCCTAACCATCTCTACCAAAGAAGGTCTTAAGTCTTCTGATAGCATTCCGAAAATCTAATATGTTTTGAATACTATCAACAACTCTAACAATCAACTCTCTCTCTCTCTCTCTTTCTCTCTCTCTCTTCTCTCTCTCTCTCTCTTCTCTCTCTCTCTTTTGTCCATCTTCTCCATTTCCTTATCATCAGCAGTTAGCTTTAAGGTCAACTTTTGTCGGATAAGCTTTAATGTACCATCAGAATACTTTTCTTTCTCTTTGAACCTTAGAAAACATTTATTTGATGTAACATTCTGACAAATTATCCTGAACTCTGGAACTTCAAGAATCATAAAGGCTAGAAGGTTATCAATGTTAGGTAGACTTTGATCTGGCTGAAGTAGGTTTTTTCTCTTCTGATTACTTTCACACCCGATACCTCTCAAAGGAAATCTCGAATTGGGTCCTAAATTGACGAATTCAATAAATTCATACCTCTTTATCTATCTCTGAGATGTTTGTATTTTTCAATCAGTAATGTAGGAGTACTTGACATGTCTTTTCATGAACCTCTTAACTGCATTTAGTGCAAGTATTATGTTCTGATGCCTGTTTGTTCTTCTTCTAAACTCATGGTATAAGAACTCAAAGTCATCTACCTCAAGATTAGTGAAATCAGCTTCAGAGAACACCCATTCTTTACCATCTTGTCTAATTACTCTAAGCACTGGATAAAACATAGTATAGAACTTCTTTGTGGAAACGTCCTTGATTGACTATTCTCTTCTTTATATCACAAACTTTTTCAAGTGAATCCCTGCTTTCAGTATATACATATATTTCATAATGTGATATTTTTAAACTTTGTAATCCCCAACATCTTAACTGGATCCAACTCCTTTATCTGACTCACATGAATCTTCCTTTCTTCATATTCTAAGAAGGAACCTTTGATCACTGTGCTCCCATCTTATAGCTTGTTGACTCTATATAACAG